CATCTCCAATACTTTGATTGTATTCATTTTGTTACTATTAAAAGCTTACTATTAAATTTAATCTCGTTGCTTGATAAATTGGAAAAACAGAACATCATTCACAACAAAAGGCTTCGCACTCTCAGTGCCAGGAGCTGTCCTTGTGCACAGGGCACATCCTCTTCACGTGGATGAGGCTGGAGCTCAGCTCTGTGTCCCAGTAGTACTCTGGGGACAGCAGCCGTGTGGGTTTGTGCTGCAGCAGGTATTTGTTGAGGAGGCTCTCGTGGTGCCCCCGAGCCCCGATGCCGATTTCCCTGTCCTCCATCACCCCCCCGAAGCAGGCTGTGCTCAGTTTGTACACCTCGGACACGCTGCCCCCGTAGAAGCTGGCTGTGTAGTGGAAGTCCCCGTGGCCCTCGGGGCTGGCAGCTGGTGGCCCAGGCTGTGTCCCCTGGGCTCTGTCGTCGTGCTGGGGGCTGAGCTGCCAGGAGCTGATGGTGGCCACCAGGGCATCGATGATTTCCACCCCGACGTGTGCCAGGAGCTGCACGTCGATGTCCATGGAGAACAGATAATCCACCTCGTGCTGGAGCCGCCTCTGGATGTAGGAGCTGAGGATGTGCATGCGGCTCCTGCAGGCGTCCTGCCAGCCGGAGCCGCTCTGCACGGGGATGACAAACACGCGGTTCTCAGGGGACATCTGAACGTGGGACACCTTCTCGGGGCTGTCTGTGAACAGGTAGAAATTCACCTGGTGCCCAGCAAGGAAGTACTTGTTGGCAGATGTCATGAACCCTTCTATGAACTGGACATATCTAAGAGACATGGAAAGAGAAGAATGGAGAGAGGCTCCTCCTGCTGAAGAATGACAGCTTTTCATTTCATTTGCTTTGTCTTTTTCTGTCTGTTGATCCTCCTTACAGTGTTAGTTGCATATCTGTCAATGAGCTCGGATGAATGCTCTAGGTCTGGGGAACATTCAGGAATGTGAAACCTTGGCTTATAGAAGTTACTGTGCTCAAGAATTAATGCACAGGTAAAAGAAGGAATCCTCCCCTCTTCTGAATTCATTACACAAACAAACAAACAAACAAACAAACCCCAAAGCCTTAATTATTTTCTAACCTATTTTTTTTCAATTATTTCTACCTGGAGTTAATTGTCTTACCTAAACCAAAGTAGCAGCTGACAAGTCTGTGTGTTTCTCTCAAGGCTAAGGATAACTGAAGGATGTCTGGGGTCAGCTTTATTTAACACAGCTGCTGCCCTTCAAGCCTTCCCCACGCTGCTGCACACTTTACCACATTTTAGTTTTCACTGTGCACAGAACCTGTGCCTCCCACCCAGTGCTGCTCTCTCATATCACTCCATGATGTAAATATTTTCTTTCATGCCTCCCTTTTACCTGCTCCCTGCACTCTTCCTGCAGTGGAATATTTAATTTCCTGGAGAGGATCATAGAATCAACAGGGAATCATGGAATGGTTTGTGTTGGAAGGGTCCTTAAAGCCCATTTCATCCCACCCCTGCCATGGCAGGGACACCTTCCACTGTCTCAGGTTGCTCCAAGCCCTGTCCAGCCTGGCCTGGGACACTGCCAGGGATCCAGGGGCAGCCACTGCTGCTCTGGGCACCCTGTGCCAGCCCTGCCCACCCTCACAGGGAGGAATTTCTTCCTAATACCTGATCTAAATCTACACTCTTCCACTCCAAAGCCATTCTCCCTTGTTCTGTCACCACCCACCTTTGTGAAAAATCCCTCTCCCACTTTCCTGTAGGGCCCCTTTAGGTACAGGAGAGGCTCTGGGATCTTCCTGGAGCCTTGTCCCCTCCAGCTCAACAACCCCAACTCTCCCAGCCTGTTTTCATAGGAGGCTGAGATATTTATCAATTAAATAGTTTTGATTGAAGTACCTGAAGTCACTGTGTAACTCTAAAGTGCCAGTGGAGACAGAGGGAGTATAGCTCTTCACTCGGAAAATCAAAAAAGAACCTCCCCAAAAACATAAGAGCTGTAACAGCCTGATTAATATTTTTACTAGAGCTAATATTTTACCTTTGAACTCCTAGAGAAACCAAATAAAATCTCAACCTTACAGAAATTTTCTATTTTTTAGTGCAGGATAGAGGGAATGGTTGTTGGTAAAAATGTAGCAGGAGCTAGAATTTTTATTTCAATGGGTCAAAATGCTACTTCTATTTCCAAGGATATTTTTGTCCTATTCAAAACAATGTCCCAGCCAGTTGCCTTACTTTGGAAGGTGACACTCACATGTCACATTTTTCCCAGTCTACATATGCTCATATTCAGTCTTTGGAATGCTTCCCACTTTTTCTCCATGAGCAATATTACAGCAGGTGAGAGGCTTAACTATTTGACAGGAAATAAATGACAAACCAATACTTTTCAACAGCAAAAGTGACCACTCCAGTGACCAGGTTCTTCTGCAGGTATTGAGCATTCAGGATGTCTCTGCTGAATGTGCCTTCCCAGACTATTGGAGCCAGCCATGGTGTCAACACCAGCACGTCCTGTCTCCTGCAGGGGGTGAGGATGAAGCGTTCAGATGGCCCAGGAAATTCATGAAGACAAACACAAACTTCTTCAGCACAGATGTCTACCCCTGAATTAATCATCCCAGCCAGCAAAACCTGAGATATGAGCCCCCTTATCCTGGAGCAGACACCTGAAATAAGTGACACTCCTTGATTTTCACCCAGCAGCTCCCACGGTGTTCGTGGCTGTCACTCAGAACCTGCTTTTCACAATCCATCCATTCCTTTACCCAGAGCTCAGCACATCCACCCAGTGCCCCCAGCTGCAGAGTTCCAGATGTGCAGCTCTGCACCCTCCTGGGACAGCAACTGCACCACAGGTCCCTGAGAGAACCAAAGGTCCCTGACTGCACCACGGATTTCTCATTGCACCACGGATTTCTGATTGTATCACAGGTTTCTGACTGCACCACGGATTTCTGACTGCTCCAAAGGTTCCTGACTGCACCACAGGTTCCTCATTGCACCACACATTTCTGACTGTATCACAGATTTCTGACTGTATCACACATTTCTGGCTGTATCACACATTTCTGACTGTATCACAGATTTCTGACTGTATCACAGATTTCTGACTGTATCACACATTTCTGCTCCTTCTGCTCATTACCTGTGTGTTGATGGAGGCTCCTCAGCTGAGCTCTTGATCTCCTCCTCTTTTGGAAAGAGCACTCCCTAATTCCTTTGGGATGATGGACAGGCATTTCCCTGATGCTTCCCAGGGTGTTGTTCACTGGTTTATCTCTAACTCAGAGGAACATCCCGTTCCCACAAGGAGTGGAGTTTATAAGTTTATAACTGTGCTAACAAGCTCGGGCAGGCAATTTTCCAGAGCAGATGGAGAGATTGCTCAGCTGTGCTCTGAGCAGTGCAGCTCCCTCAGCCCTGCTCATACAGACAGGCTCCAGCCCCTCCAAGATCCTTTGGTCAACTCTCTCCACTATGGCCACACCTCTTCCATGATTTTTTATTCTGTTTTTTTTTTTTTTTTTTTTTCCTAGAGCAAATGGCTCTATAATAGGAAATTCCAGAAAATAATTTATCCCAGTGACCTCAAATGTTCATTCCACAGCATTTACACACCATGTATGATTGCTGTTACCACTAAAAATGGTATCAGCCAAGGCCTCTTGTTTTTTAGCTTCTGAGGTGAGTGGTGACAGAGGATGCAAAAAAAGGAATTAAGATTTTCAGCATTCACCATAATTTCTCAGTTTCCTTTCTGAAAGTAACAAAGTAAAGACTCTTCATCTATGCATTTCTAATGGTTTCTGGAGGAGTTGCTTTTCTAGTTAGACATCCTGTCCTGACCTGTTCCTGAGAACAATGAGACATCATTAATGAAGCCAGAGGTGTCACACTTACCATGGAAGTGTCAGAGAGGCTTCATGTAAGTCTGATTTTCTGTAAATGAGGGAGAAATAAAAGATATATAAATACATCATGGCACAGCAGCTTCAGATTTTCTTTTTCTGAGAGATGAGCCCCACAAGAGACCTTTCAGTGTTTCAGCAGAGCTGCCCTGAGATTCAGTGTCACTGAGTATCCAGTCAGACTCCAGCACAAACAATTTTATATTATTTATATTAGTTCATATACAATGTGAACTACATTTAACAGACTACTCAGCTGGTGTAAATAGAGCTGAATCCAAATTAATATTTTTAAAAATTATTTTCAATGTGTCTTGTTTCTATGGTGCATCTTTGGAAAATTCAGTTTTACTTCTACACAGTTAGAGAGCCTGGTCCAGTAAGGCCCAACACCCTGCCCAAAGTTTGTATTTTTCTGCCAGGTTTATGTCCTTAGGACACAGAGCAGAGGTCACTGCTCTCCATTCTCATTGCTTATTCAGGTTCCTGTAGATCAGGAATGGAAAGGTCACTGAATGGGAACCCACCAGTCCTGATTCCCAGATTTTCCACCAGGAAAAAACTGGTTCTGTAAAGAGGAAACACTTCCTGAAAGTAGCAGATTAAACAGCTAATAGAGGGAAAATAAAAGAATCACATATACACAAAACCAGAAAGATATCCAGCCATATTAACATTTCTTTTTCTAGTGGGGGAGTGGTGGTGATATCAAAATGCTGTGTCATATTTTAATTTTTTAAATTTCAAATTAATTACAAAAAGAATGCATTCTTTTTGTCATATTGCTTTATTGGCACTAAAGTTTATTTCTCCCCTAGTCATATATGCTAAACTCCTTAGAGCAGCATTTCTAGAGAATGACACAACAGTGTGTCTTATAAAAGAAGTGATGAAGAGGGGAAACCCAAGTCAAAAAAGCAGTGGGGATAAGAAAAGTGTAATCCATGAGACAAAAAAGAGAAAATAGTAAAGTGTGGCTCAGTTAAATGAAACTAAATATTAAAAACTCAGTTAAAGTACGAGGTTAAAGTCTTTCTTGCTTCATTATCCAGAATCTGTTAGTTTTTATCCAGTTTGTGGACAGCACCATGCAGTAGAGAGGAAGGCTGGGTGAGCTCCTTGTGCACAGAGCCCAGCTCCAGGTGTCCAGAGCAGGGGGGATTAATCTGCTTTTTCACTGCATGGTTTTGGGGGAGCTGCATCAATGGATTCACATTTGCCCATATTAAACCTCTGGAATCTGAGCCTGCTGGGCACTGCAGGATGGTTTCTATCAAAATGGAAATGAGCACTGCTAGGACATGGATCCTGAGCTCCAGAATGGGTCTCTGCAGGTGAGTGCTGTCCTCATGGCTGGAATGAGAGCATGCAGAATGAACTCACAGTCCTGAGTCCCCTCCTGGCGAGTTTGCACGTTCCTGGTCTCTGCTGGGGGAGAAAGGGTGGTGGTACCTTGGACAGGATGAGAAAGCAATGAGTCAGTGATGATAAAAACAAAACCCAACCTCTCCTCCACTTCCTTTGTGACTGAAACTACAAAACAAAGCTAACAGAACTCACAATTGTGAGATCAGGTGTTGAGGATTTGCAGATCTCAGCTGTTTCAAGGCAGATGTTTAGCCCTGAAGTTATCTGAAGATCTGTTAACTCCGAGGATCTGGGAATGATTTAACTTGCCCAAGACCAAACTTGCACCAAATGAAATGTGTCTGCTTTACAGCAGAGCTGGGTCTCAGCTGTTGTTAGGAGCTGAGTGTGCAGGTGCCTCCTGGAGCAGGGTGTTCACAGCATCACTCTGCTCTGGCCACTACGTGGGATCTCCTCTGATGTGAGCCTGACTGGAATTTTAAATAAAAACGTGAGCATTTGTGCTGGATGCTCTGCTGCAGAGAAAGTGTATGGGTGAAAATCCTGTGTTAGTTCCTCCAGTTGGAGCAGATCTTCAATATTGTTCCAGCAAACTCTGAATTAACCCCAACTGATCTGATTTCAGGCTCCAGAGCCCTGAACACACTGTGAAAGCCTGACATGAGAGCCAGGGGAGACTCACACCAGCCCTGGTGCACAATAAACTCAGCTGGATCCACTGCACAGAGCTGTGGGATGTAAACATGAAAACACACCTGGGCTCACAGGAGTGTACACAGACAATTAATCATACTTTGAGAATTTCACAGAAGAGGTTAAAAGTGTCCACACATTGCTTATTTTCATCTGTTGAATGTAAAAGGGGATTTTGAATTTAGCTCTGTGTAAATGCTTACATTGTGTCTGCCTAAGTATAGGTTAGAAAAACCTGCCTCAGTCTGGGCAATAGAAATATAAGCTAATTGAGAATAATTATCACAGGTTAAACACCCACCAGATTGCACCAGCAATTCCTGCTGTCACTAGAATAGCCAGCCCATGTAGTTTTGTGATTCGCATGTCCTTAGTGCTCCAGAAAAGATTGTGAACTCTGCATTGACAGTAAAGTGGAAAAAACAAAAAAAAAATTAAAACAAAAGAACAAAAAGGAAGAAAATACTGTAGTTATTAAATCCGAGTAAGTCTTTTGTTTTGCACTGCAGGTCTGGCCATAATATGGAGAAAAATTAGATTTTCTAGATGGAAAGTTTTACGTCCAGGTATTTATAATACATACTACATCTTTACAATAGATATGCTACACACTGAGCTCTCATTTTAAAATAGTATAATAAACCATTTTAAATTGTTCAAACCAATCATTCTCATTTCAGATTTTCTCTGAATCAGGTTTTATTTTTTTCCCCCAGCCAGTACCCTCTCTGCTCTTTGTCTTTCTTTCTCTCTCTCCTTCTGTCTTC